CGATCGAGCCAAGCCTGGGCAGTCCGAGCCTCCGAGCTTTTTTGCCATCGCTAGAATGACAGGAATGAATTATTGATGCTTAGTAATTTGACTACAAATTAAGTAGACCTTTACCAGGTTGCATTAATCTCATGAATTGTCTCTTTTCTTTCCAAGACCTCATTACCAAGTAAGAGAGGAGCATTATCATCTCTGAGTTGCTACATCTATGAAATAATTTGTCGTTTTAACAAAAATCATTTCTAAATTTATAACAGTAATCGTGCAACGTACGATCTCCACTAGTATAAAAATAACGCAGACAAATTTGCACACATTTTGAGGTGCAAAAGTTGACTTTCTTTGAACATTTTGCACAACTTTCTTCGGACATGGGCGTCCATTCGACTAACTTTGACAAGATTTGGGTGTAAAAAAATAAAAAGGATTTTATTTAAAAATTTGAAATTGAATGTGCAAGTAAATACCCCGTATGAATCGCATTAAAATTTTTATTCTCATTTTTCTACTCATTTACAATTACACATTCTTCAATAAAATAAAACTTTCCATCACCTCAAAATAATGTGGCTCAAACACACACTAAATAAAAGGAATCCTAAGTAATGGCAATGCGAAAGTCTAAAATCTGCTACTTCATTGAAAGAAGTGGGGTGGTGGTGGAGCGTGGGTTTGGAGTACTTCAATTTCCGAAGAAGGTGGCAGTGGTGCATAGTGAATGAGTCAATGGTGGGTGGGTTGGTATCCACCGGCGATATCGATGGCTCAATGGCGGCAGCCGGCTATAGATTTGATGGTGGAGGTTGTTGGTTCCAAAGTAGAGAACAAGGATTGATTTGCAAAAAATGGGTTTCATTTGTGCCTTTTAATTGTACTATCAAAATCTAGTACTTTTCGAATAAAAAAAGAGGTGTAGTAAAATTGAAATCTGTATTAAAATTGATGTTTCACTTAGTTGTCTCTCTTTAAAATAAAATACTTTAATTCTCATATTTATTTCAGCCACACATTTATACAATAAAATATTTTGCATGTGAATTCAAAACTTCTTTTTAGTGCCAGTTCGAGAGAAATTTTCATCTGAATTTTAATCAATTATTGTAATGTTGCTACTATCATTTTTTACTTCCTTCTCATTAAAAACCAGACAATGTGACCCACTTACACTTTGAAACGGTATAACAATTGATTTTAATCTCGTAAAAGGAGGAGCCGAACATTGGTCTTCAAAACTCAATTTAAAAAAGGGAAAAATTCACTTTCCCTACTTTATCTTTACCCTATTTCAAAAATAACAAAACAACTTTTACATTTCAAAAATCAGATTTTTTGACCTATATATACACATATTTATAAATATTTATTTATTTATTTAAATATATAAAAAGATATAAATAAATAAATAAATAAATATATATAAAATTAACCCACCCCCATCACCACCACCCCACCACGCCGGCGACTGCTCCGGCGACCACTCCGGCGACGTCTCCGATTCCGGCGACTTCTCCGGCGATCACTCCGATTCCGGTGACTATTCCGGTGACTGTTCCGGCGACTGCTCCGATTCCGACGACTATTCCGATGACATGAATTTTTTGTACGGTCACAGTCCAGGTCACAAGTCACAGCACAGGTCACAGTCCAGGTCACAAGTCACAGTCCAGGTCACAGCCAAGGTCACAGGTCACAATCGACCACAAACGGTCACAACCCCCATCCCATGCGCATCCCACTTACAACCAACGCACCACCGCCATGACCACCACTATCATCACCAACCCTCACCGCCAATGCCACCACCAGCAACTCCACCTACACCATCAACAAAAATCAACCTAAATCCCCAACACCACCAAAATATGGAAACCAGCACTACCACTCCAACAACACCGTTCGGGAGAAACCCCCACAGATCTGCAACAATAGCAAAAATCAGACAAGCAACCACCACAACCATCAGATAAAACAAACTTGAAAACTTAAAAAAGGGAACTAGTAGCAACCACAAAAATACAAATTGAAAAACCCATCACCACCACCACCCCATTTCACCATCACCCACTACCACGACCACCACCGCCACCGCACAATACAAATCAAAAACCAAAAAACCACCACCGCATAGCACAAATCAGGAACCCATTCTTCCACAAAAATACAAATTGAAATCGTTTCCCAGCAGCGCCGGAAAACCAGCAGCGAAGCTGCTCCAGGCAGCGAAATCGCTGCTTTTCCGACAGCGATTTCGCTGCCAGCAGCTAGGGGAGGGGAGGGGAGGGGAGGGGTCGGCCATGGGCGAAGACGGCGGGCGAAGACGGGACGACGGGCGAAGACGGGCGGCGACGGCGGGGAAAATGGATGAAGAGAGAGAGAGGAGAGTGTGATTTTAATTAGGTTTTGGTGGTTACGTTTGTTTTATAAATATTTAGTTATTTTATAAATTAATTTTTATAATATTATTATTAACATTAATTAAATATAAAAAACCTATATCTATATATAAAATATCTGATTTTTGAAACTTAAACCTTAAAAATCTGATTTTGGAATTTGAATCTCCAAAAGTAGGGAATTGGGTAATTTTCACTTTAAAAAATAATAATAATAGTGGCCATCTAACATGGGCTCAATGAAGTTTAATTCAAAAACAAGTGGGTTCCATTGTTTAAAAACTCAAACTGGGCCTCCGCTTCAAAAGCCCGTGACAAAATGTTATTCCCCTGCTCTCCTCTCCTCCCTCTCTACCTCCCCATCTTCACCCTGCAAATTCCTTACCCAATTGCTCACCAGACAAAATTACACATTCATCGCTCGTTTAAAATCCTATTTGTCAATAACACTGTCAGACTATTGGACAGCTTGAACAACAAATTAATTAATTAAAATAACTCTTTCCTTCCCAACTTGCAAGAACGTTTTCCTCAAATCAAGGTTCAATTCTCCCAAATCTTCACAACAAGTCTAAACAATTTCTTCTCCATAACGTAATTCAATTCTTCCCCAAATCATTTCTTCTCCCAATTTGCAAGAAACGGTTGCGTATTAAAATTTAAATTGAGAAAACCCACAAATTCATATGAACCCTAATTTCTTTTACCAAAAAAGATATAAAAATTGAGCCCCACAAAAGTGTCAAAATGTTTTCTAAAGCTATTCAACCCAGAAGCTGCCTGTGTATCCAAATGAGCGCTGCCATTATGAAAAGGAATTGGTTAGCAGGGGAAGCATAGTAAATATATTATCCTCCATTACCTTAAAAGAGAGGATGACAAATTTACTATTCACTTGAAACCGAACGTTCACACCACTGTAGCAACTCTCGTTCAGCACTGTTTTGTTTTTCCTGCCTTAAAATATCTACATTTGTTGCCACACTTTATATATTATACTTTAAAAGAGAGGATGACAAATTTACTATTCACTTGAAATCGAGAGCTTGTATGGGAGGGATTAAAATCAGATTAAAATTGAAAATATAGCCGTTATTGTTGACTTTTATTAGACGAGTGGGACCCAATAACGGCTATATTTTCAATTTTAATTTGATTAAAAGCTATCTCAAACAAGGCCCGAATGTTCACACAATTGTAGGAAATCTCGTTCAGCACTGTTTTGTTTTCCTGCCTTGAAGATATCTATCTACCTTTGTTGTCACACTTTGTCATCAATGAGGGCTAGATATTTTCAGCGTAGATTAGAGTGAAAAAATAACCATTTATTATACATTTACCATGCATTTCTTTCTCTTTTTATTCTCTCTACCTGTTTGTCTATGGCAAGAGCTCGAAATAATTCCTTTCAAATTTTTGTATGTTGTTTTATGACTTGAAAACTATCGGCAAACCACATATAGAAGGAAATCTTTTCTTTTTCTAGTAAACTTTTACGAGAATTGTGTGTTACGCCAAGAATTGTGTGTTCATTAGAATTCAACACAATCTTCTTTGAAGTTGAGATAATTGCAATTAATAAAATATTTGTATTTGAACTTTGAACAACCAGTTTTGTTTATATTTTAATTCGAACTAAATATTTATTGTGTTGCCTTTCAAAAATTAGTCATGTGGTGGGACCTGACCAATTCATGAGTCATGACGTATCTTATTAGCAAGTAATAAATAAGTATGCAAAAGAGTGCTAAAATTGTCATTTGTCTTATTTCTCCCCAAGTCCTAAGAAATGCACCAACTTTTAAGCCCATTAAAAACGCACAAATTCATTTTGGGACAAAGGTGAAATTGTACGGTCACCCTTTATATAGAGGAATTTCTCCTAGGGTTTCAACATCTAATAACGAGCTCCATTGTGCATCGAGATTTCTCACAGCCGTCACTTCATTCATTCTCAGGTATCTATTGACTCTCGTCTTTCCAAATATACTTATTTGTTTTTGATTTTGTTTGCCCTTAAACAAGTTCGTTCGTTGAATTGAATGTAGGTTGTAGTTTCTCTGCAACGTTAATGGCTCTGTTTTGGATTTTATATGCTTCTCTTATAATAGGCTTTGAGCAGTTTTCTTGTTTTCTATGACAATGTAATTCCGTATTGGTCAGTCTGTGATTCCTGACGTGTTATGAAAACGTTTAGTGCATCTCTTGTAAGCATTTAAACTAGAACATGCCTCCTTTGCTTGGTGGTAGAATTGAATCTAGAAACAGAATCTTGAACTGTTAAAATTGTTTTGACTGTATGTTTATTTACTTCTGGTCTATTTTATCTGTTCGAGGAAGGTTTGAAATTTTTGATTAAATTTAATGAATAATGCAGAAAGATATCTTATTTGTTTATGTAAAATTATAGTTTAAACTTCCTCTCATCCCCCTCGCCCTTTAATTTGCTTTTCTTGTTAAATTAAATGCATCTGGTCAAATCTATGTTTTCATTGTTTCCGCGCGGGGAAAGTACCCAACCACAACAAATTCACGGCACTAAGGTTTTGAGGTGTCTAAGCAAGCTAGGGTTCAAAGCCAGGATTAGCTGATATAATGTGCTGCATGTGTTAGTAGTCTAAGGAGATTCTATGGCTTGAAGGTAAAAAAACTAGAGCCCAAGCTAATGCTAGCATATGGTCAAATAGAAGAACACGACTGGAATTATTCATTTAGGTTAAATACATTCCACTTCATGCTAATTGTTTACTTGTTATTCCTAACACTAGTCTAGATTTTATTTATTTATTTTTTAATGAAGAAGAACGCTGATTGTTCTTTTAATAGCTGTGATTATGTATAATTGTCTAATTACTTACGAATTCTGGGCAACACAATGTTACTTGATAGTTTTTCAGGGATAGCTTTGCTAAATACTTTTGAGAACTTTATCTTGTCACTCTCTTGAAACATGGATTTGAACTGTTGGAACTTTACTCCTTTGCAGAATGGATTCACAAATCAAGCATGCCATTGTCGTGAAGATCATGGGCAGGACTGGTTCTCGAGGTCAAGTCACCCAAGTGAGAGTGAAATTTATTGATGACCAGAATCGGTTCATCATGAGAAATGTCAAGGGACCTGTCAGGGAGGGTGATGTACTGACCCTGCTTGAATCTGAGAGAGAGGCAAGGAGGCTTCGCTGATGGCTTCATTTCTGCTTGAGTTTTTTTAGTTTGATATAATAATCTAATGTAAGCTATTGCGTGGTTTATGCCTTTTTTGGGACTTCATAGTAGACTTTGGTGCCACTTTGGGACACTTTTTTGTTTCCCTTTTCAATTTACATTGGTGCTGTACTTATATGTTTGAGAATCAGAGTTGAAACGTTAAGTTCTTTCCTTTGCAATTTGTAGAATGATCAGAACCTCATTTTACTGCACTTAGTTCGTATATCAAAGTCCAGTGTATTTACATGAAGAATAATGCTATCTAGCACTAGTCTAAGTGTCGTCATGTAATGGACTCAATGAAAGGTGAAATCTTGTGACCTATTTAATTGTCCTCATTTAATGGTGCTTAGTGCCAACTAGATTGGTGTTGTAACACGAGTCATGCTATTGTTACTCCCACCAGTCGCCCAAAAGACTCTTGCTGTTTGAATCTCAAGTCTCGCATGAGCAGCCTGTCCCAGCCATTCGAGCTGCCAATAGGACAAGAGTTCAGTCCCCCCAAACTCTTCTTCCCTTTGCAAGGAGTGTTATTTGTCAAATAATAGAAGTCCTTAACTACCTTTTCCCTGCCTATTGATAGCTTTATGGCCAAAGTTTAATGGTTAACCTACTCTGCACTGTTTGCTGGCACGGTAGCATGCCTTAACCCCTGGCTTTGATAATATTACGGCCTGTAGAATCTTGTGGAGTTGGCACGAGGCAGATTGCACCATTTGATTCTGGGCTCAATTGTTTCCACATTTTTAGTGTCAGGTGAACTCTAATTGATTATAATGATTTAATCTAATTTCTTCGAAATTAACTTCTGAGTTTTTAATATTATTTTGGTATTAATGTATTGAAAATTGTATGGTTCGTATTTTGTGAAGGATCTGGTTCTTGCTAGAATAGTATTTGAAATTGCAGCTTCTTGTGGTCCCTCATGTCAATTTTGTAGCAGTATACCTGTGACAAATGGGCCAATAGAGTCATTACGTCTAATAGTTTCCAACCACTCATTTTCTTCTCGTTCGTAAGATTATTATAAAAAGTATGGTACATGAACATTACCATTTTTAATACTTGAACAAAGGGACAAAATGGATTCTGAATCCAAGTGCACTGTGCACACGTTTTTGAAGATTAAGCCAAGTCCCAAGTTTGTAGCAATTATTTTGATAATTAGTTGTGCAAGACGGTTGGACAAGTAACTGTTTCTATTTTAGCATGCATGTTAGGTGGAAGGGTAAATTGGCCTGCCCCTTTGGCTCATGGAGCCAAGTCGAGGTCGATTCAATTTTTTTTTTTAAATTAATGATATAAGTCAAAAACCAAGCAAATTTATTCAAAGTAAATAAAAAAGTAATTCAAAAAACGAGAATAAATGATTCGGTCCATGAGCCCAAACGAACCATATAGTGGTAAAGAAGTGAGTTCGGTTTGATCCATGGCTTGTCTCAAAATGAGTTCGAGTTGAGATGAGTTGAGCCGGGAACCAACAAGCTACTCGGCTCGTGCCATCCTTGCATATTTTTGTTTCAATTTGTCTCATAGAGTTGTATGGTGCGTCCGTAAGAAAATCGTCAACTAAGTTACTTGAAAGATATTAAGCTTCTGTTTGGTATAAATTAATATTCAGATTTTAATATAAAGTAAAGTCAATAATTAATTTTAACCACACATTTTATATACTTCAAAACTTTTTAATCATATATTTTATCAAAATCTACTAAAAATTTGATTTTAATCCCACCAAACATGGGCTACAAATCAATTGAGAATCCAAGCAGTGGACAGGTATGTTGATATTTTTACTCATCTTTTTGCCCTTTTGCTCCTTGTGGTCCCTCTCCGTCGATATCCATTCCTCTCCAATTCCACCAAGCAACCGATATATTTATTTTATAGAGTGAGACTAAAATAAGAATCTTCTCCTCTGAATGGTTGTATTGAACACTGTTTCTCTCTTGTCCAAAAGTAACAATTTATTAATCAAAGAAACCTTCAACAAAATCAAATTAGAAAATTGTAAAATTATCTAATAGCCTTGGTGGGACATGTTGACCTTTCTCCATTTGTAAGCTTATAGAGGATGAGCTGTCATTAATTTCCTCCAACAAGCTGATTCATAATCAGCACTCCCAAGTGCAACAAGACATGAAGGGGGTGGCCTAATCTGAATTAGATTCCTCACTACACTCCATGAGAGCCACCTTCTTTGAATCCAATAATTCAACACCACCAAGATTCATATCCCTTTTAAACCCTCTATCAATCAGTATTCTCCAATGAAATCCTTAAACGAAATGGATCTCGAAGAGTGGGAACTTCTCCCAGATGATGGGTTTCTTGAAATCCATGATGATGGAGGGAAGAAAATCTACTCTAGGAAGTATGGTGGTGGTCCAGCTAGTGTTCTTGAGACGAATCACTTTGTCTGTCCACCTAAATCTAGTCCACAATTCGTCGAAACAACAAAAAATCAACTATTACCAGTCCCAATTCACTTGGAACCGACAATTTTCAAGCCCTGTGACCAGGAGATACCTAAACAAATCCCAGTTGAGATTAAATCCATGCCATCAGCCTCACCGGAGAAGATCCCTTTTAATACCGGATCAGGTTGTGAAGCTGATCAAGACCCGGTTTCCCAAGTTTTCTTCAAGAAAATGAAGGAACCTGAATTTGTCGACATGAAAGTGGAGTCACCCAAGTCTAGTAGAAGCGGAATCATGCCTCAGATTGATGGTGCAGGCTTTTATCAGTTTGAGGAAAATGAAGAGTCCTATAAAGTGGAAGCATTGGACAGCAAAAGTTGTGCATCAAAAGTAAAAGATGATTCAGAGATGGAAATGGATGAAAATCATTGGGGATTCAATATATGGAAATGGAGTTTAACTGGAATTGGTGCTATTTGCTCCTTTGGAGTTGCGGCCGCCACTGTTTCCATCATCGTCTTAGGGAGTCACCAAAAGAGTAAACAGCAGAATCAAAAGCTTCAGTTTCAATTCTATTCAAATGACAAGGTATGTACCTCAATTCAGTTTTATCAACTAAATCCCTGCTCGTGAATCAAGATTTCAAATATGTTAGATCTTTATGTCGCAGTCGAAAATGACAAACATCTTCGATCTCTTTAATTGATCAAAATCGATTAATAACACGACCTTGTGTGGTTAACAGAGGATCAAACAAGCGGTTCACCATGCAAGTAAGCTAAATGAAGCAATATTTAGAGGAGTTCCCCTCACCAGAGCACATGTTACCTTTGGTGGATACTATGAAGCTCTTTGAATCAAAGCTTACTGTTTTTATCAGCATTAGTCATCTCTTCATAAATAATGCTCTGTTTATTCACAGATCTTGTAGCAGCATAATATGTCACTATTTCTTTATAGTATTGTGTATGGAAACCTATTAAGTGTTATGCATTCATCATACATTCCTTGCGGCATTTGGCGTCGGTGACTATTTGTGTGTGCAATGCTCGATGGGACGAAATGTGGGCATTGAGCCTTATTGTGTGTGTGATGTGCTTGGCAATGTAGTAGCAAAATTTGTGCAGGATCGTGACCCTTTGTCTCGATCATTGAAGTACGTCAGTTGTTCAGTGCATAATGGATATGATGACTTGAGGTAATCTGTACTTCCTCTGGTTATTGATGGTTGAAAAATTGGAGAAGAAAAGTAATAAAAAAAGCACCTGCAGTGAAAAGTGTCCCTAATTGGGTAGAAATAGAGGCACGATCTCTTGCCCTTAATGGACGGAATAAAAATTATGATTCTCTGCATTTATCATGTCCACTGCACCCGGTGGGCAGGGGACCAAATTTAGGTAGACCCAAGATGTCACAACCAAGCATTATTGATTTTTTTCAACTGAAACACCCCCAAAGGGCAATAATTGCGAGGATCAACAAACTTTGTAAAATATTCATAGGACTTTCGATTGGATTAACGTAAAATATTCATAACATTGTCTATAAGAAACTACTCAAGTTTCAAGGTAAGTGGTAGTATTTTTTGAGCTCATCCCATCAGATTTCTCTCTTCCTTTTGCTGATTTTTTATTAGCCATGAAAGTGACTGAAATGAATGATATTTATTTGCGTGACCCACTCACTCGACTAGGATGACTAATTTGATGAAGTTAATGCACCCACGTATCTGTATTCGTATTCGTAGAATTGTCAAGAATGCCTTTGTGACACGACGCAGTTAACAGTGTTCAATACTCCACGCTTGTAGCATCTCTCTCTCTCTTCTTCTTCTTTTTTTTTTTTTTTTCAACAANTTTTTTTTTTTTTCAACAACTACCTAACTACTACTAGTGTCACGCTTAAGTTCATCTACGTGATGTAACAAAATTTCTTTCTTGTGGACGTTTCTGCATCAATCATCTACATCATATAATGGGCCTTTAAAAGTATCTCCAATCGTGGTTTAAAATGGGAAAATTTTGTATATGCTTCATCACAAAATATTATTTCATATTTTACTACGTAATGTTTAAATAACAAAAAATATTATTTATATATATGAAATATAATAAAAAATACTAACTTTTAATAATATAACTCAAATAACTATTTGTGACTGAAATCTTTTGAATAATGCACACTTCACGCGTTACAGTTAATGTCTCTTCCAAAAAAGAATAGAAATTCATATAATTGAGGATTGGTAAAGAATATCAATGTCGTCCGTGGCTTAAACACATTGTAGTTTCTTCAATCAACTGGAGCGAGAACTTGCAAAATCTGGATCAAATATTTTCAAATTTGGAGCTGAAATCTCACGATAATGTAACATAGTTGACAAATCTATATTGATTCAATGGCAATTTCAATAAGTAGTATTTCACTATGGATTTGTCAATGGTTATAAATATAAATTGTCATTGAATCAATACAAAATCTTTAAATCAGAATGTGTCTTGTAATTCTGATCATCAATTTCAGAATTTGAAGGTCAAAATTTGGTCAATATCATTGAACACGCACGTAGTCAGAAATCACAACAAAGCCTTATAATCAGTGTCAACATGTCACTTGTTACTTCTCGTTTCTCACTTTTGCAAGAATTAGTAAAGACACAAACGTGTTATTAATAGAAAGGGTGGCTGTCCTCATCCACAGATACCCCACTAAGGCTTCTAACTGGCGATTTATTACGCGCCTGTTTGAGGTAGATTTTTAACAAATAAAGTTGATAAAAGTTGATGGATCCCATAAAATGCAACTTGACAATTATTGGGAACAATACGATGAATTGTACAAGGAATCTGAGGAAAAAGTAAACACCGCTGAGGAGAGAGAGGCTCCTTTGTTGAGGTGCTTAGATCAGCTTTCCTCTCCTTGTTTCTGATGCAAACTGTAGGTTCTCACTTGTCTCTCACATTAAGTAGCCTTATGGCTTTGCTTGACCAGAAATTGGACACTGAATGGTGGATAAAAGGTGGGTTATTCATTTGCATGGTCATTGGGAGGAAGAGGCGGCATTTTGCTTACTGTTTTCCTACCATTTGCAAGTTGGGTTTGTGGCAAAACGAGCAGCAGTGTCGTTTCTGTAGTAGTTGTTGCCATGTGGTTTGGTTCAAATCTAGCAAGGTATGCTCCTCTTAAACCTGGTGCTCTTCTTGCTGTTTTGTACATTCAATCAAGCTACAAGTTGATCTAAATTAAAGCCAACTGCTGTGTTGGAATATATATTCTTGTTATTCATTTCTGTATGTAAATATGATAGCTAAAGAAATGGAAAAACTTTAGTTGGATGGGAAAACACGCTGATAATGTAAAAATTGAGAATTCAATAATTGACTGAAAGTTTGGGATTATCCATCTTCATTGTGATGTTTATGTATTCATTGACCTTCGTTAAGGCACGAATTCTGAGATAAGAAAAATATGAATGAATTCTCATTTACTGTAAAATCTGATTTATCATAAAAAATATCAATGTACTATCTTGAGTAAATGATTTTGATCTCGGAAAATGTCAAGAAGAATGCCTCTGTATGGAGGATTCTAAGCTTTGGTTGCCCAATTCTAGTGCGTTCTTGCTTCCTCTTCTTTGTTCTTCAATCGTCTGATGTTCTTCCACAGATAGCGCCCACTCGCCATGTCAATGAACACCCAGAAGCCATTCTGAATAACCCAAAATTCAAGAATTGCGTAAAGTCAGGAGAAATACGAAAAAACTAAGACTAACAATCAGGTCATATGATTCTTCTCACCTTGACAGAACCAAATTCTTGTTTCCCTCGAGTAGTTGTAGACATATTTTCAGGGGTTGAATCCTCTGATTCAGGAGGAAGGGAGCTCACCGTCCTCCAAGCCAAATACCCGGCCAAAGCTGCCGAGAAAAACACCAGGATGAACCTCAGAGGACACATTTCTGAAAGTTGTGTCTCAAAAATTAGATGTCAAAGCTTGTAAATGGATTCTCTGTTCTGGAAATTGACATTGAGGTAGGGATGGATGATCATGTGTATATATAAACAAACCTTTTTCAACATAGAAAACGCGTTTGTGATTCCAGTTGGCTTATGACTTCACGCTTTTGTTTACCAATTCAGTCAAAGGAGTTGGTTACATTTATTAGCATGCAAGAAAAGGTCTGCTGGTTACTTTTCAAAACCAGCTACTCCATCACTCTGTCAACTTTCTAGTAGCCCTATTGGATTAATTTATTTTTGGTTAGTGAAATTTCAATTAGGTCTCAGTTAGATAATTAACTTCTATTTAGTATTAAACTGAACCAGCGTGAGGAGATCAATTTCATAAGCTTAACATCACTATTCTCTTTTAGTTGTCGTTTCTCGATAAATATGTCACCTAATAATGTCATAATTACAAATTCTTGAAATCGAGGATAAATATAGTTCTGAATATGTTGTCACGCGAATTACCATCTATTGAATAAAAAGAATAAATCATGCCTCCATGAATTCATAAATTCCTCCACATATTCTTCGACCATATCATAATTATACACGTCAACAGGAAATCGTTAGTTTTCCGTTGAGAATCAACAATCCGTGCGTGAATATGATGGATGGTGTTTAGAAGTAAGATTTAATCTACTTGTATATTATTTTTGTATATTAAGTTTGACATTCTCATATGTGTAAGAAATTTGGCTCAAGATTTGACTAAGTGTTATTAAAATCAATGATCATTATACTTGACACATCAGACAATGTCATCCAAACTGTCAAACTTAATTTACATATAACAAAACTATAAAAAGTATGCTTCCAGAGTAACGTTCTAAATTCGTGGTTGATTGTCACTATATTAATGTGATATATGCTATATTGTGACTTAAATTATAAAATACAACAGTTGTGACGTGTAATTCACGCATGCTAACATGTGTGATGTAAGAATAAAATTTAACAATGGATTAATTGCATAAACTCCCTAAAAATGTTTTCAACTGCGATATATTTCCTTTCTATCGAAATTGCAGAAGACTCTACTATTTAAAACCTTTTGTGCGAAAAATCCCTATGCCTCCAAGATCTTTCAGATTTTTCATTAAAAACAGTAAAAAATGTCAAAATCTTTAAGTCATAAAATGCATAAAAGTGGGGTGTGTGTAAAATGAAATTATAAATATTTGGGATGGTAGGTGGCACATATAAAAAAAATTGGATTTAATTCTTTATAAAAAAATAAAAGGTTTGGGTACTCAAATTACAACTATTTCTTTTTAATTTTAGAATTTTTTTTCTATTTTTAACGAAAAATCTTACAAATCTTTACTGCATTGTGAAGATATCATGATAATGTTTTTCGTCACCCACGATGATGATGGAGAAGGAAAGTAACACCTTTCTCTCTCAATAATATAAAAAGGTAAATTAATCCAATTTGTGAAATTTGAATTTCAAAAAATAAAAATCAAATATAAATTACCTCAATAAATGAGATTGAGGACAAAATAAAAACATAATACTAAAAATATATTGTAAATATTTTTTAAAATAAAAATATCAGATTCCTGAATAAAATAAGTTATTACCTTATTTTTTATAATAGAAACTTAAAATCCACCCCCACCCCCAAACAAAAAAATAAATAAATAAAAAACTTCGACCCATCCAGGTTGACGAGCTTAAAAGTGTGGCTTGTCTCAGTCCACGCCTAGGCACCAGTCAGCTCGCAGCAGGTCATAACATAATGGTCTCCTTGGAATGATCTCCTTGGAATTTCCTTTATATAAATATGCTATTTATTTCAATGGAGTGACTAGCCACTATAAAATTGAGAGAATAATGGCAGCTTTTATCTACACTAACCACAGGCAGATTGACATCAGCTAACTTCCATTAAATTATACAGGTCGATATGCAATTTTTGTTCACTCGACCATCATCTACCTTTCACGCCATCTTTGTCAACTTCTGTATTTGTTCTCCCAGGTCCATATTTAATTTTACAGAAGTTTAAGAGGTACATTTCACAGGGAAAAACAAAGAACATAATGGAAAAATCCAACCAGGATCAATAAATCAGCTTTCAAAAAGTCATCCCGTCATTTCAACAGAAACACAACAGCTTCAGCACACAGTACGACCATAACAAATGGATGCAATGTAGAGATTTTTGGACCATTTCTCCTGCAGTAGAATGAAAATAGATAAACAGCAAGCACTACATTTGAATTTAAATAAAGTGCGAAGTGTTTGTTGCTCTGATTAATCTTTATTTACGAATGAAAATGGTAAGCTGCACATCTCTACAAACTCCATACAATCAGATAAACAATTGGCGAAAGCAAGTTACCTTTACATGGGCACTTGGGAAAGCAGATGTGCGAAGAGTTTCTTGAGTCTCATCCATCATTTTTCGCTTTAGAGTACTCAGTATGAATGCCGCTTGATCATCAGTGGCAGCCATGGAAGTTATTCTGTAACCACTTTCCCAGCGGCGATGTATTCCCTCGCTTGGGTACAAAAAATCAAGTTCTACAACCTAGCATCAATGAGTCCATGGTGATTATGGGTATTTGAAAATCAAGCTCTATTGACCCGTTGATTTACTCTACAACTCACAAAAATTTACTCAACACAACCATATAATCCAGTTTTACCTGCTCAGAGTATCCAGAATTTCTAGACATAACGACACCCCACCGACTGCCAGCTGTTGTCATGGACGTAACATGGAAACCTTCCTTCCATTTTTTATTAATCCACTTGAACGGAAAGGATTCACTTACTTTATAGGACTGCTGGGTGTAGGGAGTTCCTAGAGAATTGGTGAATGCACAAATGAAATATAAAATCATATAAATATGATGTCATCATAATACAGGCACAATAATATGAACAATCATATAAACCTTCCGATAGACATAAAGATAGAAATAAGTAGACTTTGAGTTTATCTAGACTTTAGTAGTTTTATATGTTAAGAATTTGATATCAATAAGATCTTTTATTACAAGTTTGTTAACATAGAAATTTTAATTAGATTGAAAGTCCTTCTCTATGTAAAGGGGCTTAGGTTCTAGTTTACAAATCCATTGAATATATGAATAAAATGATTTCTCTTGCCCTAATTTCTTTTCTTCTTTGATCCCTTTCTTTTCCTGTTACTTCTTCAATTGTTTGTTGTCAAATTGTTATGTTCCTGCGTCACTTTCCTTCCACTTGAAAGGAAAGGACTTCAAGACCGCTGAAAGTCCTTCTCTATGTAAAGGGGCTTAGGTTCTAGTTTACAAATCCATTGAATATATGAATAAAATGATTTCTCTTGCCCTAATTTATTTTCTTCTTTGATCCCTTTCTTTTCCTGTTACTTCTTCAATTGTTTGTAGTCAAATTGTTATGTTCCTACGTCACTTTCCTTCCACTTGAAAGGAAAGGACTTGAAGACTTCAAGACCGCTGGGCCTAATATGATGGACATCATCAAACTAACACAATTGACCCAATTGATTTACAGCAAAGTATCTAACTGCTGGTGCAAAATGCAGGCGAAAATATGAAGCTACTAAGGCACACACATGTATAGAGAACTTGTTAGTTGACCAACCTTTAGACATAACCACCAAGGAACTTCCATTAGCTGCACCAGCTATTGAACTGATGTAATAGTTTTTTTCCCACTGTTCCATGATCCAATCCTGATGAGAGAGACAGCTATTAATAGGATAGGCCACGTGCATCCACCCAGAAAGGCCAAATGAATAGAAATTGAAACATGAATTTAGATGACAAAAACAACCTTATGAAGGAAGACAGCTGATAGCTCATACACCTGTGAACTGAAACCTGTTCCGGCATCCATGATTAAGGCCCAAAGATTTGATGCTGAAGCCACACAGCTAATATATAAACCATCTTGGTTACCCTTCTCTACGTGCTGAAAGAGCCTTGAGTCTGCAACATTGTAGTGATATCTACAAATACAAGAAACTACATATGTCAAAACATATAGAAATTACCAAGAGAACAAGGTCCACAATCCAACTTATGTAACTATAGAGCTGGCATATAAAATTGTCGGTTAAGCCACTTTCCAATGGTAAATCTACAGATCATTTCTCTGAACCCTAATAGTCAAACAATGTATCTATAAAGAAAAAACAACAAAAAGAATCAGCTCTAACAAGTTTCCAGAGGGCTACCTTCTTCTTGCTAACAAGTTCCAAATCCAATTTCAAAGAAAATGACTGAAAATAAGGTCACCAATGAACCCTATACACTGAACACACAACACATAGAAGAAGCATCTCCAACTAAAAGATACACCACACACACACATCTACACATTTGAAGGGTACCAGCCTTTTCATGCCACAGTATATTTATGGTTAGACATGTTATAGAAAATTATGAACCCAAGGAAGCCTGGCCTAAACTCGGAAACATGCACATCTAGTAACCAAATCAAACTAACAACTAAAAGCCAACCCAATATTCAAAAACAGAAACAGGCTAGTGCATCTTATGGAGTAAATAATTGCACTATTTTTATACTTAGACCAGAAAAAGATCTGCTGGTTCTGTCAGAGTCCATAAGAGGATAGCACAACACTTATGACTTATCATCTGATTATCCAAGAAAGATTTATTTTGGGCATCACATCCAAATTTAATTTTTTTCCCCAAAATTTTAGTCAGATTCCTCACTTAGCTTCTCTAACAAATGCACAAAGAACCTAAACATTCACCATTCCCAAGAATCTGTTGGAAGATAAATCAATTGAGTAGGGATATTTGAGCACAAATACATGCACAGAACATGAAAAGCAAAACAAGAAGTAAAAAATATTTTACTAGATGACAGCTTCAGTTGGTTTTCCTTTTTTAAACTAAAATGCAGTTTCCCACATTTGTCATAGAATCTAAGAATGTTTGATACTGCATGAACAAATGCAGCTCAAGAGCATTCAAACCCAGAAAAAACTATGTTCATGGCCCACATGCCCACCTACACATATAACACACTGCCACATCCCTATGCAATATTTTGGAAAATTACATGCCAAATGGTGTACAGAAAATGATAAATACAGTATTTGATGGTGTATGAACATCTGCAGCTCACATGGACTAAAACACAGAAAAAAACAGGCACCACCTACAAGCTCATTGTCATTGTGCAAGCACATAGAAAAATCCTTGTGAAATATTTTGGAAGATTCCATACCCACCGATCTCCAAATGCAAATTATAAACCCTAAGCCCAGGTCCAGTAACAATCATAGACAACATTTGTGTGGTGGGTGAAGCAGTATGAAGAAAGAAAATGAAAATAGAAAGAATGAACAAGGAGAAAAAATGCCAAATTAGGTTCAATTTATATATTACATTATTACTTCTTGTCAGTGTGCGACATGAAGGCACACGGATTTTCCTGCCAGCCCCAACACTGTCCTCATGCACATTACTGATAAATATCATTCATCTAAGAACACGAAACAGAAAAGATAAACTTAAAGATTCAAAATTTTGATCATCAACAAGTAAAGAAGATAGAACGGAATGATGAGAGGCGGGGAATTGAGAGAAAAATCCAAAAAAGGCACGTGGACGCGCTCTAGTGTCCAAGTGTCCAACCAAAAAAGACAAGGAAAAAAGAAAGAAAATGCAGAAAATGCAATGAGATAATGAAAGATTTCGCAAGTATTCATGCGATTCAAGTGCAAATATGGCACTTTTTCCTCTTTAGAATTAGTGAATTGGGTACAGGAAGTTGTTTCTATATGTTATCCACAATCTACGGAAAGAAACAACAAAATCACAATCAAACGTAGTGGAGAGAAGTAAATCCACACTGGCTGCTGAAAAATAATACACATGGAACAAATCACAAGAGCATATCACGCCAAACAAACACGTATCTACAATTACCTTTGTTTCATAGGACGACGAGCATTATACACCGAAATCCACTGGGTAGCTGGACTACCTAGTCGCACTTTCTTCTTAGGTTGTTCGTCCTCTTCTAAGTTAATCGGCAACCTTCCACGCTTCTGGCCAACCTGCTCGTACAATAGATGACAAGTTCAACATATGAAGGCTTTTGGACATAGGGACATACACCTATAAAATAAAATATACCACTGAGTATATTGTGTATATAACCTTTAGAGCTCCATCAATTCTTATTGGTCTTAATGACGTGCATGGTTCGATAAGACTCTCAAATAATGACACCAACTTAGAGTAATTTGGTTCCTCGTCAAAGTTCATATTTGTAACATCCTCAAGAAACCGTTTGAATGGAGCTGGGCAAAAGCAGCACATCAACTCTGGAGAAGTAGACATTTTCTTTTTAGAAACTAAAAAACTCTTGTTGTCACCCTGTCATCATCCAAAACCAAATGAAGAAACAGTTAAAAAATTTTTTTATAAGCTTCGACAAATTCCTGACATGTTATACAAGCAATGGTACCAAATCACCTGATAACCTTGCCACGGTAACCTTCCCTTAATGAGAAATATCAGTGTGTATGCCAGTGACTCAAGATCGTCCCTCCTACTCCCAGTACGACCCAAATGTGCGTGCACACTTGCATACCTTATTGTGCCCCTGTAGATGGAGTTTTTTAGTGCCTGTCGAATCAGCTTCAACCAGTCAAAAAATTAGTTCAACCAACCTGAATATATCAGGCCTCTGATCATATTCAACATGCTGAGCAGAAGATGCATCTTTCCACCTGGATGCTGCCTCATCAACACATTTGAACAGTAGAAAACTTCGTTAACCAAAAGAGGAATAGAAAACAAAGATACAAACAAGGGAAAGAGAAGATATCAGCTGCAGAGACGCAAAAAAATGTGTGCAAAGAATTGGAATTTACTATAAATGTGTTTCAACTTGCCTGGTGGTCACCAGTCCTGGTTAGGCTTGTAGCGACACAAATAAGAGAGTAAAAAACAGGAGTAGCATCATACCCAAACCAAGATCAATGAGATATAGCTTTTTCTCATCTGCAGTTCCAGGTTGACCAAGTAGAAAATTCTCTGGCTTCACATCTCCATGCACAAACCTAGGCAAGTGACAGCGAAGTAAGGGTGATCAATAATTCAAAGTGAAAATGAAAAACAAAAACAAAGTAGGCAAGAAGATTGCAAAGATTAACGACATCGTTGCAGAAAAACAAAGGAATATGGTCGAGAGAAATCAGAGATCAAAATGGTTTACCCCTTCATGTGAAGCTTTTCAAGAATTGATATAGCCTCTACAGCAACACAAGCCACCATACCGGGAGACATCCTGTTTCAGTGCTCACCATTAAATGAGGAAAGTAAAATACAACGAAATGGATATTTTAGAGAATTGCACCCTAAAGATAGTTTGTGTGCGCATGTGAGAGAGCGAGAGAGGGGGATATGCTATATCTTACGACTGGCCTAAAGAATTCCAAACATCCCAAAGACTGGGTCCAAGCATATCCATGACCTGAAACAGAACCTCCATTAGATATAATGACATAAATCTTCATGCAAAAGGCAAAAATAAAACTCACCAGGATGTAAAAATCTCCTTGACGACCCTTGTAGTGAACTGATGGGATCCCATAACATCCGTTCAGGTTACTTTTCAATAAAAACATCAGATAAGATAAATACCAAGTTGTGGAAATTTTAAACACGAAGAAAGTGAGAAGATACTCAAATTAAACACATGGTGCTTACTTGTACACCTGCCACTCATATGGAGGGCCATAATTGCAACCCTTACTATTTCGGTGCTCAAACTTCAATGCAACCTGTAAAAAAAAAATTCCATATAAATTCAGAAAATGATATAAAGTTGCAGATATCTAAAAATGCCATGATAGAATACAAAAAGATACCTCAATTGCATCCGCTCCTGTTCTTCCAGTGCCACCATTTACCCTTCGACCGACATAAACTTGACCAAAACCACCCTTTCCTAACTTCCTTTCTGTCTTATACACGGGAGAACTACCCACTTGTACCTGCACCAATGACATAAGAGGACTAAGATAGGAACTCAAACTGAGGATGCTAAAGGTCAAGAAGATAATCATTAGGCAATAAATGGACTAATTGAAATGAGAATGTTCAGTAATTTAAAGACTTTCAATGCCCATCCCTCCATAAGTGTTCTGAAGAGATTTCCAGAAAGTGAAACAATACAGAATCAGAAAAGAAGAAGGAACAAAATACCCTTTCAGGTACGGGAGTTGTACTTGCTTCTTCTTCAACTCCCATTATTTTGTCTGCACTCCCACCATTCATGGCAATTTCCTTATCTGCAATTCCTTCTATTCTATTAAAAACTGGTTCCCCAGGCCCAAGAGCAACAGCTTGAGGAAGAACCTCGCGATGAGGCTCCAGGTCTAAATCTATAAATCTAGTTCCCCTGCCTCTTCCAGCAGCTGTTGGCCTTGAGGGTGTCACTGCTGAAGGCCCTTTTCCTACAGCCACTGCATTACCTCTCCCTCTTCCTCTCCTTCTGGTTCTGTTCTGAGTGGGCGCCACAAAATTTTCTTCGTGATCAGGGTGTTGAGGGGCAGGCTGAAGATCACTAAGCCGTTTTGATCTCCGTGCTCCACTTCGCAACTCTGGCATCATCACCCATGCAAATCACACCCACTCAACACTTCATCAACTGCTCAGAATAGTCAATAACCCAAACAAGAATAAATAACCAAAGAATGATGGTAACAAAAGAACCATTCATCCAAAACTGGTAAAAGAGTTCACGGACTATGCTGTTCAAGAATCAAGAATGATCTGTTCTACAAGCAGAGGATGGAAACAAATCAGACTTCGAATTATCAAGACAAAACTGAAATTGCGAAGCTCAAACATTTCATATGCAAGAAAGAAACACTTACCTTTAGCCTTGCAAATCATGGACATACAAAAAAAAGGCAATAAATCTATAAAAGATACTAGTTTTAGCAAAATTCGCGGAAATTTACATACGTGCAGACAGAGTCTCTCTTGTATGGATGAAAATTATAGATTTTTGCCAAAAAAAAAAAAATGTAACATTGGATGATACATCGAACTCAATGAAGCACATAAACAGCCAAAAAAAAAAAAAAAGTTACGCGATGAGTAATCAAACTCAACATGCATCAAAACTTATTCCGGCACATATAAAAATCCAATATAAAAGACCATATCATAATATACCGAAAAACGCAGTAAAACTACCGGAAATCAATTAAATTAATAATCCAAGGCCAACAAACTTAACATAATACCATAACGATCATCTCGTCACGAGTGCTACAATTAATCATCCGGAAAACGTTAAAATTAGCTACTTTTTCTTACATTGAATAAAATAAAACATCAAAAGCTAAGCAGCCGCAGATCTTACCACAAAAACAGCAAAAGCAGGACGATCGGAGACAAAACCCAAGAAAATCAACCTAAAAATTAAATTCGATCAACTTCTTAATCAAAAAAGGTCGGTGGAGGAGAATATTAGATAGAACTTTGGGGGAAGAGTATTTTGAGTGTGGTCTGTTGTATTCGGTGTCTATTTTGATATTTGTACTTATTTTTACGGTCCTTTCATATCTTTTTCAAAATTAGTAAAAAATTATTAAATTTTATATATAGATTTTAAAATTATTAAATTTTATATATTAGTAAAAATTATTAAATAGATTCAAAGAAATTTCAAAATGTTGTAGGTCGATCAAATCCCTAGCCCCTCTACAGGTTCCGCCACCTAATGCGAGGGGATTTTGCAAAGATGTCCATTATCTACTTATTTGTTGTTGATAGGGTTGTAATGTTGTCAAAGAGATCTTGAGTTAGTTTGGCAACATCGGGTGAAAAAGTTAATATGTTTAAATTGGCCTTAACTTTTAGTGAGGAGCTGAATTCTTTTGGATTGACCATGTAAATATAAAGTGTTTACCCTCAGTAATTGATCATGACCAAAGAGTATCTTCGAAGGGGTCAAGGAGAGGGTCTAGAAAAAACTCCATTCACTATGACAAAAATCATTGGAGGAAAATAAGTCCTCATTAAAGACGTCGCCCCAATTATCCCTACCTTTAAGATGATCGTGTTCAAGCTTCCACAAGGACTTTGCATTGAAATAAGGAAACTAATCACTCATCTCCGTGGGAGAAAATACAATGGAAAGAACAAGGACAAAACCTTTTGAAATTATAAGCTGGTGGTCCTATCAAATGTGCGGTGAAAAGTGAATAAAAAGTTTGACTAGCCTATAATTCCAACTAAGCACTTGTGGCGAAACAATATTGTTGATGATCCTCTCTAATCCAAATTCACTCGATGCGCGAATTTTGAAATACAAGTATCATCCACGTGCCTTGGTCATGCAAGTTGAATGTAATTTGTAAAGATGGGTGCTCATATATTTGGCCTAGTATCCTTAGGGACCGAGAGCCCTTCAAACACGGCATCATATTGTGAACAAGAAACAGAAAAATATCGCACTTTTTAATTGCCTTGGCTACTTGCAAGAAAGTACATGCCACTGAAAAAGTTACATTATTGAACGGCTTGATACTTGGTTGTTGAATTTCAATTCAGCCTCGCTTGAGGTAGACTTTCGGAAATTCTCTATATGATTTGATAAATCTATTTAGTCTTGTAAAAAAAGTAGAGTCATAATGATTGGAATTTTCTTGTAAAAGTAATTACGAAATGGTACTATTGCTTCAACAAGTATAATCACGTGAGAGAAATCAAATTTGATTTGATAAATCTCTCGGGAATTTGCTTATATTCAATGATAATATATATTAGCAACTTTTAAGTTCTATATAAATCAAATGAATCGAGCCTACTGAGCACCACGGAAACATGTTAAAGAGATCATTGTCACGTTCTTACTTCTATTTCTTGATATGTAAGTTACATTTTTTTCATGTTAGAATGTATTCATTCTGATGATGAAAACTCTCAAGACATAGAACTTAAGGTCGTTGGTCATTGCATATCATGTGGATTGGTTCTCAATACTTCCAATTACATACTTACACTACATAAGGTAGATAACAAAACTAACTCTTTGTTCTGCTGATATTATGAATTCTGGTGTTATCTGAAAACTGAGTATTTTTGTTTGAAGTATGTACATATTCATGGATCTTACTAAGTTTTGCAGTTACAAAGGATTCCTTCTTACACTGCCTCAGTGCATAGTTCTGATCAAGAACAGAAACAAAAGTCTTCACACCATTGTGTTTTATAAATTATCTATGTATTACCGAACAATATCAAGTGCTCGACAGAAATTAAATAAGCCTCATTTCATCGTTGTCTTGGGGAGGTGAATTATTTAAATCGGGAATTTTGGTAATTTTGCAGGTTAGCTCACCATTGCCATCTTCTTCTCCACCTTCTGCAGGAGCATTTCCTTCTTTTTCCATGGCTTCTCCAGCAGCAGCTGAGTCTTCGTCTTGCACCACATCCTGTATCGGTTGATAACCACCAACAGCAGCAGCACGGCCAGGATTCAGATAGAGGACTCCTCGGCTCTGAATGATGGAGGTGGAAACGCTCCTTTCCATCTACGGTTAGGATGTGATAGCATGTGGCTAAATAAATGTTGAAGAGCTCGAGATGAGCTTGGCTTGGAAGATGAAGATATCGTTGATGTTATGGCTCATCAAAGTAGAGGTCGCTAGCTAGACGGCGCACATCAACATCACTTGAAATATGATTCATCATTGAATGTGCTTAAAACGATTTCTTTCGGTAAATGCTTAGCCTCCGTTTAGAAAGAATTTGTAAACGGATTAACTTATAAATAGATATGAACGAGTGGTGGAAAGTGGATAGTACTTGTGAGTTCAATAGAATGCGTGATTGAAAATGAAGTTTGGCCATAGATAAATGATTTATAACTTTGCCAAACGGAGACTTATTTTACAACCACATTCAAATGAATGTACATGTACGAATGTGCGTGTAGGAATTGCCAACTTCACATCGTTTAAAATTGAAATATATTTGGCAAATAACATTTGCTTCTATTTTCAATGTCAAACTATAGCAAAATCCAAATGGGAGCAACCTGAGAAAAGTTTTCCAAGAAACCAAGTCAAGATAATGATTGTATAGAATTTGCTCAAAAGAAAATCACGAAAACTATTGTGATACAGATAATGAGAATCTAGCACATTGAAGACAAGCTTTGCACAACTTTAACTTCTCATAACATGAACATCACCCCCACAGCTA